CTGAGTTCCTTCATGCCCCAAAATATCTTAACTCTCCTTTTACTTTCGAGTGACACTTTGGGTGGATATGGTATAAACTAAAACTGATTTTCCTCCACTTATTTGAAGGTATTGTTCCATTGTTTTATAGTAGTCTTTGTTGATGATGAAAAATCTGATGCTAGTCTGATTCTCATTCCTCTATAATTGAAGTTCCCATAAAACATAAAATGAAGTAAAGCATTTGAGGCAGAAAAACCCTGCACAGGGAGAGTAGGCCCCAGGCTGGAGTAAGAGATGGTAGTATTAAAAGACTAGTGAAATCCCCAATAGCTACTGAAGACAGATGAATATTTTGTCTCAATTTCCATTTGGGACTTCCAGACATCATCTTTATAGGAGGACTCTACATCAGAATGGTGTAGCTACAGCAAAAGAGAAATAGTGGTGTGGCTTATTTAGGCAAATGGAGTAGAAATGGGGTTTCTAAGTATCCCTTGGCTCCTATGTAGTGAGGAAAGGATGCAGATTCCACATTAGGTATACATCAATAGTCACCACCTCCCCAATAATGATAGCCCTGGGCAAACTTTCAATGAGTTCTTAAAAAACAAACAAACAAACAAACAAACAACTTACTGTAGGCCAGGCAAAAGTTGTTAATTATAAAAAACAGTTAAAAATAAAACTGAAAGTGGATGAATATAAGACCCAATTTGGGAAGAAGAAAGTTGCTAGGGCTAGAGAGGTAAAGATACAGAAAGGCCTACAAGAACATACAACTGAAGTCAAAGGCTATCATTGCCAAGCTACAAGACTCATTTTGGCTGCCTGTCAATGTTTCAGAGGACCTCTACATCTGGGCAATAACAGTCTATAGGAACAAGAGCTAACCTTAGGGACAGACCTTAACTATTATACTAAACCTTGACATTACTGGGGTGGCTGGGGCGGGGACTCATCAGACACTAAGAGTTTGTGAACTCAACTCATTGCCAATATTAAGCATTTAAATGTTCAGAACTATATAAACATCACACATCCTTATCCTTCATAGGGAACAATTAAAGCTTCTGCTTCAAAGGGTAAGAACAAAACTTTGGAGGCTTAGAGAGCCCTAGACCCTCACATAGTTATTACTTCCTCCTACTCAGATTTAGCTTATCTTGTTATATGACCAAGAAGAATGGGTTAGAGAGTAGAAGCTCCTCTTCCCCGCCCCTTTATTTTTGAAGCTCCATATGTAGTGCTTACTTCCATTTAGTCCTTTCTTAAACAATCCTTTATCACATAGTTTACTCTTTCAAATTATACACTTCTAGCAAGACAAAGTAAAAATAGCATAAGAGGGGCGCCTGGGTGGCTCAGTGGGTTAAAGCCTCTGCCTTCGGCTCAGGTCATGATCCCAGGGTCCTGGGATCAAGCCCCGCATCGGGCTCTCTGCTCAGCAGGGAGCCTGCTTCCCTTCCTCTCTGCCTGCCTCTCTGCCCACCTGTGATCTCTGTCAAATAAATAAATAAAATCTTAAAAAAAAAAAATAGCATAAGAAACTTGGCTCTTTTTGAAAGTAGTGATCAGGCTGAAATTTCATTTTTATGCTAATGATGATTACATATAATGCCGACATTGTAACTTTTACTTTGTTTTTTAGTGAAAACAATAAATACAAATATTTTAAAAGAAGATGCCCATTGTCCTACTAGGGCAACTCTTAATTTTTGTATATGTCGTTCTGCCTATGTGGCACAAAACTATAGGACTGAAAGACACTTTGAAAATCAACTAGTCCAATTCTTACATTTTCATTTTTTAAAAGATTTTATTTATTTATTTGAGAGGGAGAGAGAGAGAACAAGCAGGGGGCAGGGACAGAGGGAAGGGAGAAGCAGACTCTCCACTGAGCAGGGTGCCTGATGTGGGGCTCCATCCCAGGATGCCAGGATCATGACCTGAACCAAAGGCAGACACCCAACCAACTGAGCCACCCAGGTGCCCCAATTCCTCCATTTTCAGATGAGAAACCTAAGACCCACAGAGTCATGAAATTAGCCAAGAATCACACCTTATCACTTTCTATAAAAGAAATTTTAATCCTAAATTAATAAAAAATAGTTGTTAAGACATAAGTAACTCCCTAATTGATTTTCTCCACTGAGAAAGCAACTGCAAGGGGGAAATATCTCTATTATGTAATATAGTATCAGTCTTATCAAAAGCAATGTCTGGAGAACTATAGCTGCAAAGTCTGGATTCTTTTTTTTTTTTTTAAGATTTTATTTATTTGTTTGACAGAGATCACAAGTAGGCAGAGAGGCAGGCAGAGAGAGAGGGGGAAGCAGGCTCCCTGCTGTGCAGAGAGCCCGATGTGGGGCTCAATCCCAGGACCCTGAGATGAGATCATGACCTTAGCTGAAGACAGAGGCTCTAACCCACTGAGCCACCCAGGCACCCCATGTCTGGATTCTTTAATAAAAGTTTCAGAAGTCCAGGAACTCCTAGAAAACAGATGTGAATTCAAAGTCTCTGGATTTAAGGATTTGTATTCAAAACTTATATACCGCTATGCATTGTTACTGCTGAGACTGTCTGCAGATTGTGGATTCTGGAATGCACCCTTCTTGGTATGATGGCAAATTATAACTCTTAAAAAGAGCACCTAATTGAGGCTTTCTCTGTGCTGTAATTCAAAGAATTGAAATAGCATTGAAAAGGGGAGTACTTAGTAGGGAACGTGGACAGCTTTCAAAACAACTGTGTTAGAAAAGGGCTGGATTCACATTAGTGGGATTCTTACAGTGCCACAGCAGAAAAAGGAGCAACATGGGAACAGAAAACTCCAGTTCTGAGACTAGTCTGCCACTAACCGGGAGTATAATTTGAGGCAAAACACTTAATTTTTCCAGTTTTGTTCCCACATCAATAAAATGAGGTTAGCCTAGCTGATCTCAGAATTCTTTTCCAGCTATAAGATTCCGATTCTTTCTCCCATGGATGTAAAAGCTAGCTTGTATTTCAGTCTTTGGGAAAACCCCAGTGTTGAAGAGCTGGCTTTATTAACAAAGTCCTAATATCCTTTCATTTTCTTATGCTTCTGAGGTAAGTCCTGGACAGAAACCTGAGACTTTGAGTGCCCCTCTTCCCTCCTTCATCTCCCGCCTCCATACCCTATCTATAACAAAACCCCATTGTCTCCTCCACTCCTTCTTCTCCGTCCACACAACCAATACCGCAGTACTGGGCCTCCTTATGTGAGCCACAGGAACAAGTCACTGCTTCTCTCATGTTCTTCTCGATGTATAATTTGCTATTCTACTGGGTGTTCTGTTCTGTTCTATCATTAAGATTTATATACCTACAGGAGTGATCCTTGATTTCTCTCTTTCTCTCACACTTCATATTCAATCTGTTGGCAAATCCTGTTGGCTCTGTCTCTAAGATACGCCCAAAATATGAGCACTTCTCATTCTCTCTTCTGCTATTATCTTGGTCCAAGCCAGCAATAGTTTGACTGATCTTCCTACTTTCACTCTCTCTTTCAACCTATTATCAAGACAGCATCCAAAGTGATCTTATTATAACATTGTTAGATCATGTCACTCCTCTGCTCAAAGTGAAATTCTATGCAATAACCCACAAAGCTCTCGATGCTCTAGCCATTGTTACCTAACTTATTTCCCACTACCCTGCTCTTCTACTCCAGCCACATAGACTTTCTTCCCAGTCCTTCAGTTTGCCAAGTAACTCCATTACCTTCTTCTCATGAGCCTTCTCTGGTCATTCTGTCACACTGCCTAAAATCACAGCCCTCTGTTTCTTATTTTCAGCACAGAATGTATTACTTACTTTCCTTCTTTGTTTCTCTTCCCCATGAGAGTAGGGATTCTTGTCCGTTTTGTTTATTGCTATGATCAAAGCATCTAGAACAGTGCCTAGCATAGTGGATGCTCAATAGTATTTGTTGGATATTGAGTTAATCGTGAGAAACTCTATACTAAGGGAACATCATACAAAGATGGAGACAGACACTAAGCATCTCATTTGTTCACAGCAAAACAAAATTTGATCACCTTCTTAATCTTATGTAGTAAAAAAAAAAATCCTTGCTTAATTGTTTTACATCTGTTTTAACACGTTTTCGATCTCAGGGAAAGCATTCTCCATTATCAAAGCCTTAATCTGTTTACTAGAGAATGGACCCCCTTATTTTCCGAATGTAGTGTACATTTGGCAGCTCCTCTAAGTTATACAGAAGAAACTAAGTTCTGTTTTAAATAAAAAATTTCAGGTCTTGACCTTTAGTTCTCAAAATGCTAAAAAAAATCTAACTGCAATATTAAATTCCAAGAGGTAATACGTGGCTATTCAATGTAACAATGAGAGTGATGACGAGATATTATGGTAACTTCGAATTTATCAAAGTAAGAGGTAGTAGAAACTCCATGTTGCTTTTTCCCTCTGTTTTACCTTTATCAGAGAGACGCACCCTGGCACACAGGAGATGATCGATTTATATGTATTTAATTTGTACCGGACAGATTCATGTTTTCAAGAAAAAGAAGCATCTTGAATTATTTGTCTCCGCACTAGCCTGCGGGTTGTGGTCCTTCGCTCTGCTCTAATTCTGCGTTATCAGGGACCTGAGTTTACCAGTCCAAGAAACTCCGGGAGGGACGTCCTCACTCAAGGAATGACGACGGGAACGCTTCTCCGGGGGGAGTCGTCCGCTCCCTCAAGGTCCCCGGGAAACATCTGTGGGTAGAAGGGGCTCCACTACACAGAGCGCGCGACGGCCTCCCGCACTTAGTCTGGCAGACTTGGCCCTCCGTCCTCCCCCGACCACCAAGACGCGCTTCTCCTCCGAGGAGACAGAGCGGCCGGCCCGTTAGCTGACAGCGCCGCCCGGCGACCCGCAGCTCTAGCCGCGCCCCGGAGCTGGGGTGGGGGAGGGGCGGCGGCGGCGCTCTCGCAGCGTCGAGTTTCCCAGAATTCCCAGCGGTCGCGGGGAAAGTTTACGGGACGTAGGCGGCGGCGGCGGCGGTAGCGGTTACTAGGCGGTCCTCGGCAGACCATGGCCCTGGCCGGGCGTTTCTGGCCTCAGCTCACGGAGTTCTCGGGCAGCATCGTGGAGCGAGTAGCTTTCCGGGAAGGAACTGACAAGCGACTGAGCTGTGGCCGGCGCGCTTAGCGCCCCGAACATGCAGCAGTCCCTGCGGGCGTCCCCGGGCTGCGGAGAGGAGGAGGCGGCGGCGGCGGCGGCGGCTCGGGAGGGAAGGAGGCGGCGGCGCCGGCGGAGGTGGCGGCGGGGCCGGCCGGCGCCCTTCGCGGAGCCCTAAGGAGGCTGCTTAACGCGGCCTGGGGCCTCGTCGACAAGGATGCTGTCCCGAAAGAAAACCAAAAACGAAGTGTCCAAGCCCGCGGAGGTGCAGGGCAAGTACGTGAAGAAAGAGACGTCGCCTCTGCTTCGGAGTGAGTGTCGGGCGGGGCGTACCCACACCTGGCCCGAGCGGCTGCGGGAGCCTGGCGGGCGCGCGACGCGGCTCCCCGCGGCTTTTTTTTTTTCCTGTTGGTGTCTGTGAAATACTGTTTTCTAAAATTGTATTGTGCCCGAAGTGGTGGTCATTGTTTGAAAGCCGATGAAGCGTAAGAAACTTAGAGTAGTCCTTCCCCCGTGGGCCTCCCTGAAAATAACAAACTTTCCCGTTCTCCTCCCCCCGGGGCGGAGTGTTATTTCATTTTGATTACTAGAAGAGGTTCTTTCGGAAACTCTTAAATTGCTGATTCCCTGATGCTACAAGGGGTGAAAGTGATTTGACTGGGGCCCGCTTCTTCCTCTTCTAGATACTTAGAGATATGCCTTGTGTTTGCAAACATTTCGGGTGTCACCCGTCTGTGCAGGAAGTTGTGCGAACTCGGGTAGAATTCCTTAGCCCTTTTGCTGATGATTGTAGACGTAAGGAGGTGACAGTTGACCGTCCCTTTTGTGGCCGCTCTCCAAAGCCTCATCAACAGTCTCAGATCTTAGAAAAGCGAAAATCATGTGTGTTTGGGTGTTTAAGTGAGAATTGCTTCAAATACCATCTTCCTTCCCGGACTCCAAAAAAAAAAAAAAAAAAAGCGAAGTACGCAAAAATTTCTATCGTACTTAAGGAGAAATTGCCAAAAAAGTTTTTGGTTTTTTTTTTTTTTTAACTTTAATAGTTTCTCGCTGCTTCCCCCCGCCACACTTTTCAGTTTAAGCATTTGATTCTGCTTTCTCAGCTGAATCTTTTGAATTTTTAATTCTTGCTTGTGTGTTCAGAACATTTTTGAGGTAAGGAACTAATATTTAGATGTTCATACTGCATAGTGGGCACTTTGTGTATGTGCCCTTCTTGGAAGCTCCTACAAACCTTGTGACTTAAGCGTTACTTCATTCTGTAATTGGGAAAGCTGTTCATAGAGGTTCCTAGTATTTACCCAGGATCACACAGAAAGGTGTTGAGAGCATGTTTTTTAAATAATAACTGCATCATCAGCCTTAGAGATTTATCCTTGTATGTTCAGTGCTTTCTTATAGAACAACAAGATAGATCAGCGGGTACATCAGTAATTAGAAAATTAATTTTTATTTTTTAAGTTTATTTAAGTAATCTCTACACCCAGTGTGGGACTCGAACTCACGACCCTGAGATCATTAGCCCCTCGTTCTTCCCACTGAGCCAGCCACGCACCCCCTGAAAGTTGATTTCTTTTTTTAAAAGATTTATTTATTTATTTGAGAGAGGGAGAGTGAGCCCAAGCAAGGGGGAGGGGTGGCGGGAGAGGGAGAGCAACAGACTCTGCCAAGTGCTGACCGGAGATCTCAGGACTCTGAGATCAGGACTGAACTTAGGAGTCAGAGGCACCTGAGCCACTCAGGTGCCCCCTGAGAATTGATTTTTTTAATACCTTTTTTTATAAGCTTATTTTTCAATTACATATGCTCTTAGGTTTTCAGCTAAATTTATGATAGCTTGCAGTTTGCTGCAAATAAACTTTATTAAACATTACTTAAAATCATGAAATATGTTAGCTATAGTTTATTATTTTTTTTAAAGACTTATTTATTTACTTACTTATTTATTTGAGACGGAGAGAGCGAGTGCCAGTGAGCTCATGTTGGGGTAGAGGCAGAGGGAAGGGGGAGAGAGAATCTCAAGCAGCCTCCCTGGTGAGCACAGAGCCCATGGTGGAGCTTGATCTCACAGCCTGTGAGATCATGACCTGAGCCAAAACCAAGAGTCCCATGCTTAACTGACTGAGCCACCCAGGCACCCCATGTAAGCCATACTTCAAAGCAAATTTATTTCTTATTAATTTATTCTTATTAATAAATTTATTCTTATTAATTTCTGTCTCGAGTTAGCTTTTGAACCTTATTAATATCAGTGCTGTCTAATATTGTGTACTTAATAAATGAATAAAAGTTTCCAAATCTAATTTTTTTCATGTTACGAAGTTATTTGCTTTGTAACCTGGCATGTCTAAGCCGCTTAAGTTCTGTATTCAGAAGTACTATATCCTGAAGGCCATTGTTCTACTGTTATCTTCTGTTTTGAATTATAATTACTTGTTCTTAAGGGAGCCGTAGTTTCAGGTTTGGCATTTTTTGAACTGATTGTACATCTGTGTGCCTCTTTGAAATGAGATTTTTTTATTTTTTAATTTTCATACCTAAGTTTTTTTACTTTCCAGCATTTGATTATGTACTGGTATTACATAATTCTGAGGGGAAACCAGATTATTTTAAAGTCTTTTTAAAGGAATCCACTTTTACATGTTTGGGAATAGCATTGTGTTCTATTTTATATTTGAAATTGTGTTTACTTGTAAAAGGATTTTTGGGAATTTTAAAAATGAAGTGAAATCAGCAAAACAAAATAATCTTAATTTTGTTAGGTTGTTTCTTATTTTTACACATTTATTCATGAGTATTTCATTAACCATAATTAAGCTTACTGACATTTCATCATGTTATATATGGTGTTATGCAGAATACGTTTGATTTTGACTGAGTTTACACATACCACATTCATGCAAATTATAAAATCATTTGCCATGGGAAGGTATTAATTAGCCTTAATTTTAAAATACCCAGGTACTATCATAAATTAGAATTTTAAATTGTGTTTGCTCAAGTCCATTGAAATTTTGCATTTGGGGGTAATAGATATAAATGAACAACTTTTGAAAAAGGTAATTATTACTTACTGAAGTGGTCATTTTACTCTTTGTTTTATTTTATTGTAGATCTCATGCCTTCATTTATTCGGCATGGTCCAACAATTCCAAGACGAACTGATATCTGTCTGCCAGATTCAAGTCCTAATGCCTTTTCAGCTTCTGGAGATGGAATAGTTTCAAGAAACCAGAGTTTTCTTAGAACTCCAATTCAAAGAACACCTCATGAAATAATGAGAAGAGAAAGCAACAGATTGTCTGCACCTTCTTATCTTGCCCGGAGTCTAGCAGATGTCCCTAGGGAGTATGGCTCTTCTCAGTCATTTTTAACAGAAGTTAATTTTGCTGTTGAAAATGGAGACTCTGGTTCCCGATATTATTATTCAGATAATTATTTTGATGGTCAGAGAAGGCGCCCACTTGGAGATCGTGCACATGAAGACTATAGATATTATGAATACAACCATGATCTCTTCCAAAGAATGCCACAGAATCAGGGGAGACATGCTTCAGGTAACCTAAAATTACAAATCCTACCTTAGTTTAGATTTATTAACAATTAAAAAGGTGCTTTTTTTCTGGATTTTCTTGGGAACCACACACACACTCCCAGAAAAATACTTTTCCATTTTGCCGGTTTTGTTAAGCCAGCTTACAAATAATTAGTAATCTTTGCTGAGTGAAAGAATTTTGTGCCCATTTATTTTATTAACTCATTTTATAAAAATTTAGTATTCACCCAAAGGTTATCTAGACTGTTAACCTTGAAAACCCAGAGAATTTAATGTCTACAGTTGGATTGAATCTAGGTTTAGGTTTGGTAAGATGGGAAGGTTAGGGTTTCAAAGAACCTAGACTTATACCAGAGAAAGGAAAGGTGGATAGGAAGAATTGGGCATGGCAAAAAATACCATGGGGCAACTGCATCATTCCTCAGCTACAGCCTACACTGTTTCTCTTAACAAAACTATTTGCCTAGGTCAGTAATTACTTCCCAGGTTGGTCAAAAAGACTCAAATGGAAGTCTGTCCTTTTGTTCTTTTAGTAATAAAAATATTAGCCATACAATTTTATTTATTATTTATATTTTATTTTTTCTTAAAAGATTTTATTTATTTATTTGACAGATAGAGATCACAAGTAGGCAGAGAGGCAGGCAGAGAGAGAGAGGAGGAAGCAGACTCCCCGCTGAGCAGACAGCCCGGCGAGGGGCTGGATCCCAGGACCCTGGGATCACAACCCGAGCCGAAGGCAGAGGCCTCAACCCACTGAGCCACCCAGGCGCCCCTGGCCATATAATTTTTTAAAATCTGTTTGCCATATTTGCTAACTTGGGAATACTTGTATAAGGAGCAGAAGAGATAGGAGAAATGGACAGTTCTACTTTATTCCCAGAGTATTGGATTACACTAGATAAACTGAAGCAAGCTGAAAATTAAACTTTTTTATCTAATTGTTTTTTTCCTGGTTAAGTTGCAGGCTTTAAATCTTGGCAGGATAAGAATAAATACATGAGACATTTGCTTTTTAACCCATGAAACTTAAAACAAGGTGCCTTAAAAACAGTTTGGAGGAGCCTGTGGGTTGCTCAAAGTGTTTTGGTTTGGGTCAGGATCTCAGGGTCAGGAGATCAAGCCCAGCATCAGGCTCCATGCTGGCTGTGGAGCCTGCTTAAGTTTCTCTTTTTCTCCCTCCCTCCCTCTCTCAAAACAACAACAAACAAATAAACAGTTTGGAGCAGGAGTGTAGAAAACATTCATTGAGTATTTGGTGGGGGTAGGGGGCAGAGGAAGAGGGAGAGAGAATCTTAAGTAGGCTCCATGCCCATCGTGTCCTGACCTAGGGCCTAACTCACTGAGCCACCCAGGCACCCCCTTATTCATTTAGTATTAATCATTTATGTGTTTAGCATTTTCTCTGACATTCTTGGCGTCTGCTTTCTGGTATCTTATTTGGGGAACAAAACCAATATATGCACAATAATCACAGAACACTGGTATTGACGGTAAGTGCAATAGGGAGTCAGAGGAGAGATCAGGGTAGGCTGGAATATTTAAGAATGATTCGTGAAAGAGGTAGGACTTGCTTTGAGCTTGGACTTTAGATTAATGGGGCAGAGAAAAGGCATTTAAATGAGGAATTTGGAATAGGCCAATGAAAACAGAGTGAACGTGTAAATCGAAGGAACTATGTAGTTCTACTAATATGAAGAAAGAAGATATGAGGTAGAGTGGAGATTTGTGGTCCAGCAACAACCTGAAGGATTTAAACAGTTTGGAGTCAAACAGAAGCCATTGCAGATTTCAAAGACAAGTCATTTTATGAAAGCAGTATTTAAAGATTACTGGTTGTACTCAGGATAGATTGCTAGAGAAAAGATGACTTTGGGTACCAGTGGTATTGGAGAGGAAAGGGCAAGTCTATGATGCTTTTAAGGGGAAAATGAAAATTATGGAGAAGTAAATCACAAGTTTTGAAAATTGAGGAATAATGGAGAATAGTTGGTAAAAGCAGCTTATTTTGTGAAAGCTGACATTGGAATCTCTTTGGGTCATAAAAGAGGAAAGGTTTTTCTAGGCATAGAGAAATGAGCATGGATGAGTGTCTTTTTTTTTTTTTTTTTTAAGTTTTTTTTTTCCTTAAGTAATCTCCATGGAGTGGGGCTCAAACTCATAATGCTGAGATCAAGAGTCACATGCTCCACGGACTGAGCCAGCCAGGCACCCCAGAGCCTTTTTGTTTTTAAAGAGTGTCTAGGTTAAGAGATTAAACAGTTGCATACTTTGGTGTTTATTTTGGCTATTTATAATATTAAGTAGTTTTACCTCAGAAATGATTTGTTGACCCACCAAAACAGTAAGTTTTTAAAAATCATTTTTTAGAGTAATAACTGCTTGCTGTAGAAAATTTGCAAAAAACAGAAAAGTTAAGGGAAAGTGCCCATCAGGCCAGAGATTCATTGTATTTCAGTTATTTCCTTCATCTTTCTAATGGCCTTTTTTTTACATTGTTATTATACTCTGTACAGTTTTATATCCCTGCTCTTTACTTGAATGAGTTTCTTAATGTTATATGCTACTTATGCATTCCATTGACTTAATAATCTTCCATTTGGTGCATATTTGGTGGTTATTATTTTAAATGTTAATGAGGACCCAACTAAGGCTGCAAACATTTAGAAAGAGAAGTGGGACACATCTGTATTGATGGGACTTGGCCTCAAATGGGAAATGAGAGATAAGGAAGAGAGAAGATTCAGATAGGATTAGCATAGACATTTGGCTGCGTAAATGGTTGACTAAGTGAATGAATCCAGAGATTTCAAGTCTGGAGTCTTCAGACAGTTTTGGTGGCTGATGAGTAGCAGGAATAAAAGCTTAACACAGCTTACCATAAATACAGATTGTTCTTCACACTTACTTTTATCATGTATATTTATATTTCAGGTATCACTGATAACTCATAACACTTTTCTGCCTAAATGAAAGTATGAGGAATTAATAATGCCAAGTTAAAATATTGTTTTAAAAATTCTGGTTCACAAAGTATCATTGAGGAAATACTGCTAGAACTAAATTCCTACCGATCCTCTCTTAGAGGCAGTCTGACACTTTTTATAAGTTTAGTGACAGACTTCAAAACTTTCCAATCATGAGTTAGGGATAAATAAAATACAAGTTAATTGGATACTTTTTCAAATTTAAAAGTCATTTTAAAGAAAGATTTGTATTTATTAGAGTGGTAATATGCTTGAGAAATTTCACTTAATAGAATTACATCAGAGCATAAGATTTAATGTTTTACCTTTTAGAAAAAAACAGTTCTTTGAAGGAATCCGTTAAATGTCAGGGAAGGATTAATAACCAATAACTAACCAAGCAGAAAAGCCTTTCAGCTGTCTTTTCCAGAAGGAAAAAAAATCTCAATATGAAACAATAGCTGGAAGTTTCTTGAATTCATCTTGAAAAAATTTGAAACTTACCATATTTTCAAGATTAATGCTGAAGAGAATTCAAGGAATTACAGGGAATGAGAAGGAGAAAGTAAATCTGTGAGAGGGTAAAGATGTGCCATAGATTTATTTTCACAACTTTTAAATTTTGATTATTGTTACTAAGGTAGTAAACATTAAGAATATATGAAAGAAATAGTTTGGTAATGATTTAATGCAAGTGGTATATCCTGCCAGTTACATAGACTGGGAGGATATACCACTTGCATTAAATCATTACCAAACAGTTTATATAATATTTCAGGGGGTTTCAGGGCCTAGCGAGTTTTAGGTTTAGCTGTGAAATCTGACCTTTAACGTTTTGGCCAGTGTATTGGGCAGGCACCTATTCTATGTGCCAAAGGAAGGAATTTGGCTGTTAACAGGAAGTCTTCAGTTGGAATACTAAAGGCAGAATGAATTCCTTTGTTTTGCATTTGAGTAATTTAGTTCTATACAGTTTTAAGTAATGGACTTTTAAACCTTTGATTTTTAAAGATGACTAAAGAAATCAAGTTACCAAAATCAAGCTGAAAAGTGTCAGCCTTTACAAAAACATGGAAGTAATGTTTACTCCAGGAAATGCATAATTATTTAAGGAACTCAGAATCATTTTTGAGAAGGGGTTAATAATCTTTAGGGACACAACTTTATTTGTAATATTATTTTGCAGAGGAGGAGAAAAGGTAGATCTCTTTAGACCTCTTTATCAACATCTTAATTGTAACATGGGCTATAGTGTTTAGCATTTATTACCCTGAAGCTTGTGGACCTTCATTAGAGTTCCAGATTCCATTTTATTCTCTGTAACAACTACAAAATTAGTCAACCAGAATTTTTGAGCTTTATAGGCATAGGTTTCACAGATATCTGCCTAATTGTATGAGATTAAATTCTTCAGAGACATTTCTAGTAGTCTTGGTGGAAAGACAAAATAATACTTTATCGTTGTGTTTGGGAAATAATGTATTTAGTTATGAATGCCTTACTTTATATAAATGGGAGGTGTTTGTGCAGTTAATCCCTACAAATGGAAGTTATTTTGAGCATTATGAATTCCACTCATTCTTTTCTGGAACTAATTGAAAAAATGGAAAACTAATTTTTTCCCTTGTATCTAGAAACAGGTTCCTAAATTTTTCCACTGATTGAATTCAAAATTGGTAACTTGTTTTTTCTTTTATTAGTGACAGTTATACTTTTCTTTGAAGAATTACAGTTGATCTTTGTTAGTAATTTGATTACTTTGTTAGTAATAATTTTGTCACTTGTATACCAATTCTATGATTTTGGAAATAACTTACTTGAATTGTTTCCTCATTTGTAAATTGGTAGTGATAGTATTACCTATAGGGCTCTTTTGAATATGAAATAATACATTTGGAAAAGGGGCAGGTCAGAGGAGACATTCATAACTGTTAGTGTTCATGCCTTTTATAAGAGCGTTATGTGCTCTTCTCTGCTTTTTCCAGATTTGACATGTTTGGCTGTTGAAATTTCAACTTTCTGGCTGAACTTAGAGCAGAGGTCTCGTGTTAGAGCTTGATGGAGTTTTATTTTTCCTGTCTTCTAGACCTATTTTATTACTAGGCATGTTTCGTTTTAAATCTCATTTTTAATTTTTTTGTATTGCACATCCTCCTTTCAATAGGTTTTATAAAATTATCCCAAATAGTTTTAAAAAATTAGTGTACATGGCACTTTCGGAAAGTGAAGGTGGAGCGTATCATGGAAAAGTTAGGAGTCATGGTTTTACATGGCATTGGTAAAGCTGATGAGCCTGTTAAGAACTTTGAGGATATCTTTGCGCCCATATCAAATTGTTGAGGTTTAATTCTGAAAAATAAGAGTTTCTACAAAGAGGTCTTTGTATTTCCTCTAAATATGAATTTCACATTTTGTCGTAGTTTAAATTTGGTGTTTGGTACCTAATACTGTTTAAATGGAGAGGTGTATGTGTTTCTAGATTTAGGCAAGTTCAGTATATGGAAGTTTGAACTTTCTAAGCAGATTAATAAAACTGTCACAACTTTAATAATCTCTAAGTTTGTACCTTTTTATTTTTTACTATAAGAGTTTTTTTTTTTTTAAGATTTTATTTATTTATTTGACAGAGATCACAGGTAGGCATAGAGACAGGCAGAGAGAGGGGTGGGGAAGCAGGCTCCCCACTAAGCAGAGAGCCCAGTGTGGGCCTCGATCCCAGGACCCTGAGATCATGACTTGAGCTAAAGGCAGAGGCCTAACTCACTGAGCCACCCAGGCGCCCAAGAGTTTTTATTTTTAAAAATGTTGTATTTAGAAATCTGTTTGTATATTTCCAGGGGGACTTCTGTTGGGCAAAAAATTTATGGTTCTTTTGAATAAGTCAGTACGAGTACAATGAATTGACTTTAACTTTTTTAAAAATTTCTATGTTATGGCCAGTAGTACAACATTTCTAATGATGGAAGTATGAGAAAATATAAAGCCATTGCATGCTTTAAAATGTGATTTTAAAGTTATTTGCTATGTACATGTCTTTAGTACATTGGCTTATTTCTTTTTTGTTTAAACATTTTTTCTTTAAGTACAGAAATTGCTTAAGCTACACTTATTAAGTAAGCCTTCAGTTGCAGTTTGACAGAAGCCAAGGTCAGTTTCACCAAAAGGCTTGTTAGCTTTGTTTTTTCTATAGTTCCCATATGTTTTAGAAGTATATGCCTTTCTTTTCAAATAATACTGTGATTGTGTTTATTTTCTTTCTTGCATTTTTCTTTTTGCTAAAATAGTTCATAGATGATGATGTATACATTCTGCTGCATCAGTTCCAGAGACACATAGTGACTAATTTCTCTTTTTGATCCTAAAATTGATGATGGGATCAGATATCAGCACAGTTCATTCATCATGAAGTTTTCCATCGGCCTTTTTACCTGTTGATTTGATAACCATTAATGATCATTGGCTAGATCCAGTATTTTATTAGGTGTTACAGAGGGTGATACTCTAATTTCTGTCATCTCTTCTCTATTAGTTGGACTTCTATAATGAAGAACTATCTCTCATCAATTATGTGGTTGCTGTTCATATAAGAAAGGATAAATACTAAATCTTTCTCTTTATTACTAGTTTTTAAGATGATGAATTGGCACTCTAGCTACCTCCAAAGGTAAACAGTGGTTTTTTATTTTTAGTGTTTCTGAAGTCAAGAATGTTTTATTAACTCCAAGGTTTATTTGGATTTCGCCAGTTTTTTCATTAATGTCAGTTTTCTGTTCCAGGATCCAATCAGAGTAAGTACTACATTGCATGCAGTTGTCATTTCTCCTTAGTGTCCTTTGTCTATGACAGTTGCTTAGTCTTTTTTTTTTTTAAGATTTTATTTATTCATCTGACAGAGAGATCACAAGTAGGCAGAGCAGCAGGCAGAGAGAGAGGGGAAAGCAGGCTCCCTGCTGAGCAGAGAGCCCGATGCAGGGCTCGATCCCAGGACTCTGAAATCATGACCTGAGCTGAAGGCAGAGGCTTAACCCACTAACCTATGGACATAAGCTAAATGAATCTTGGAATTTGGGGTGATTAGTTATACACACACACAATTACTATTCTTATGTGAGAATAAAACAATGCAGCCAGGTTATTCTCCCTCCCGCCCTCCCCCAAATAGCATACAGTAAACTTAAAGTTTTTTTTTTAAGGTACAGGGTTCTATGAATTTTGATATATATCTCTATCTATCTATATTGATGTAATGCCTAGACAGTTTATAGGACATTTCATTCACTCCTAAAAATTACATCATTGTTGTCCCTTTGTGTAGTAAGTGTTCTTTGGTTTATGACAGTTGCTTAGTCTTTTCACCCTGCCCCAAATTCCTGGCAACCATAATTTTCTGTCCTAGTTGTTTTGCCTTTGCAGTAGTTTCATATCAACGGAATCATACAATTTACAGTCATTTGAGGCTGGCTCCTTTCACTCAGTGTAATGCCTCTGAGGTTATCCATGTTGTTATCCATGTATCGATATTTAGTTCCTTTTTACAGTAGATTCCACTGTATGATTGTACTAGTTTACTCATTTTCTTGAAGGACATGTGGGTTGTTTCCTTTTTCAACACTATAAACATCCCCATACAGGCTTTTGTGTGAAGATGCATTTTCATTTGTCTAGGTTAAATATTTGGGAATAGAATTGCTGCATCGTATGGAAAACATATTTAACTTGGTAAGACCTTGCTGAAGTGTTTTCCAGAGTAGCTGAAGTATTTTGCATTTCCACCAGCAGTGTATGAGAGTTTCAGTTGCTCCATATCCTCCTCATCACAACTTGTGTTGTTAGATTTTTTTTTTTTTTTTTCTTTTTTGGCCATTCTCATAGATGTGTATTATCCTCTCATTGTGGTTTTAATTTATAGGGGTTTTTTAATTAGCAGTGTCCCTGATGGTTGATATGATTTGAGCATCTTTTTCTACTCATTTACCATCTAAATATCTTCTTTGAAGTGCCTGTTCACATCTTTTGCCCATTTAAAATACTTTCCTAGTGTTTTGAGAGTTCTTTATGAATTCTAGATTAAACTCCTTTGTCTAATATGTAACTTGGAAATATTTTCTCCCAGTCTGTAGCTTGATTTTCTTTCTCTTAATAATGTCTTTCATAGGGGTGCCTGGGTGGCTCAGAGGGTTAAGCCTCTGCCTTCAGCTGAGGTCATGCTCTCAGGGTCCTGAGATCAAGCCCCGCATCAGGCTCTCAGCTTGGCAGGGAGCCTGCTTCCCCTCTCTCTCTCTCTGCCTGCCTCCCTGCCTACTTGTGATCTCTCTGTCAAATAAATAAATAAAATCTTTAAAAAAAAATAATAATGTCTTTCATAGAGCAAACATTTTTAATTATGACAAAGTCCAATTCAATATTTGTTTCATGGCTTACACTTTCAGCATCATGGTTAAGAGCTCTGCCTAATGAAAGGTCACGAAAACTTACCCTCCTTTTTCTTTTAAAAGGTTTATAGTTTTTATGTTTCACATTTAGGTATATGATCCATCTTAAGTTCATTTTTATAGAAGGTGGAAGGTATAGATTGTGATTAATTTTTTTTGGCGTATGGATGTCCAATTGTTCCAACATCATTTGTTAGAAAACTACCCTTTCTCTATAGAATTGCCTTTTTACCTTTGTTAAAAATCTATTGATTGTGTATGTGTAGGTCTATTTTAGGATTCTTTGTTCGATTGATCTGTCTGTCCTTTTGCCAATACCATATTGTCTTGATAACTTCTATCTTTATAGTAAGTCTTAAAAATCATGTAGTACGAGGGGCACCTGGCTGGCTCAATTGGTAGACCACGTGACTCTTGATCTTGGGATCATGAGTTTGTGCCCCATGTTGTGCATAGAAATTACTTTAAAAAATCAGGCAGCATGAATCCTCCAACTTTATTCTTATCTTTAAAAATGTTTTGGCTTCTCTAGTTCTGCCTTTCCATATACATTTTAGAGCCCAACTGTTTCTGTCTATACCTATAAACTCCTGCTAGAATTTTGATTGGAATTATCTTAAACTTAAAGGTCATTTCAGGAAGAATTGGCATCTTAACTATGTTGAATCTTCCAATCCATTAACATGGTAGGTTCTTTTAATTCTTTCATCATTGTTTTATAGTTTTCAGCATACAGATTCTGTACATAATTTGTTTTCCATATTTTGTTTTATTTATATGTAAGTATTTGATTTTTTGGAGCTATAATAAGTGGTATAATTTGTTTCCAGTTGTTAGTATGCAAATACTTAATTGATTTTTGTATGTTAACCTTATATGTTGCATCCCTGATAAAGTTACTTAATGATTCTCGGGGACAGCTAGATTATATTTAAATTATAAACTGGACAGTTTTACAAGTTGGTTTTTATTTTTTTATTTTATTTTTTTTTTCAGTTTTAGGTGAAATGTCAAATCTTAAATCTTGAATGTGGTGAAATTTTATTTTCTTCACTTATCTTTAAGCAGTATACATATTTAGTAGCTTTGCTAATAGTTAAATGTTTGTGTAGCCTCGTGATAGAGGCATCAACCAAAACTAATTTCAGAGAGGGAGTCTTGTTCCTCCTTCTTTCTGTAATTAAATTTTAGTAATACTGGCTAGTTTTATGAAAATTCTTACTTATAAAATCATGAATTTTAACAGAAGAATATAATTAGGATAGTTAATTTTGTGACTGTTTCACAGATACCATAATTTTTAGCTTTGAATAATTGTTCTAGTTCTTCTTTTTCTATCTTTCTCCTCAGGTATTGGGAGAGTTGCTGCTACATCTTTAGGAAATTTAACTAACCATGGTTCTGAAGATTTACCTCTTCCTCCTGGCTGGTCTGTGGACTGGACAATGAGAGGGAGAAAATATTACATAGATCACAACACAAATACAACTCATTGGAGCCATCCTCTTGAGCGAGAAGGACTTCCTCCAGGATGGGAGCGAGTTGAGTCATCAGAATTCGGAACCTATTATGTAGATCACACAAATAAGAAAGCTCAATATAGGCATCCCTGTGCTCCTAGGTATAGTATCAATTTTATTTTCAACTTTTTGTTTTGAGATTGTCTAATGTTAGATTTTGAGCTCATATTTTCATCCAAGAGAAAGGCACCCTAAAGTTTGATATTTGAAGGCTTATGACATTTTTCTTTGAATTTGTATTTAGTAATGATTTGGTAAATACATTTTGGTAATAATTAAAAAAAACTTTTTAAAACAACCTCAAAAACACAATCAGTTTTCGTATGATCAGATTCTGTTTTAATATACCAGAATGTTTTTTATTGTAGATACCCAGAAATTGAAATAATTAAAACCTCTCTTTCCATTTAAATTTCTATAAATAATACAGACCTCCCTCCTAATTTGTCAAAACATACTTCTGAATTATAGCATCTTTCTGTTTTATTCAATTTCTGACTTTTAATGTTCTGTTTCTTACCGTTGCTAGGCAAGAAGGTGAAAATTGGAACTGTACAAAATATCCCAGATGTGTTCAATAAATGTAACCAGTGATCCTTTGGGCTTATCAGTAGGTCTCAGTATGTCCAGATTTTTAGCCCTGTGAATATTGTAGCCAGTTGTCATGTGTAGCTATTGAGCACTTGAAAGGTGGTTAATCCAAATTGCGGTGTGCTGTATACGTAAATGTAAAATACACAGGATTTTCAAGTACATAAAAAAACTAGTACCAGCTTAGTCATGAAATTACAAATAAATTCCTGTTAACTACCTCTGAGCCATAAGATTTAAAATGGGTAGAATATCATCAGCATGTTGATCATCATTTAGCATAGTATCATTTAGCATAATATGATCTTCAGTTATAGTAGACTTCTGCATTTTTTAAAACCATTAAAATTGTTATGAAAATACACTTTAATATTACCACCTAGAAAACTAAGCTTTATCATTATTGTGTCATTTTATTTATTTATTTTTTAAGATTTTATTTACTATTTATTTGACAGAGATCACAAGTAGGCAGAGAGGCAGGCAGAGAGGAAGGGAAGCAGGCTCGCTGCCAAGCAGAGAGCCCAATGCGGGGCTCGATCCCAGGACCCTGGGATCATGACCTGAGCCAAGGCGGAGGCTTTAACCCACTGAGCCACCCAGGTGCCCCTATTGTGTCATTTTACATATTTGGATTTATTCATTCAACTTGGAAAAGTTTCTTTTCCCAGTGATTCCATTTAGTGATATTCAGTCAGTGTTAATTGAACAGCTGAACTTGTCACCACTTCAAAAGAGCCAGACCAACTTCTCTGCCTGTGTTGGGCTCTGGTCTCTTTGCCTACTCTCTAAACCATTTCAGGCAAACTGCTGGCCTCCAATTTCAGGCCTGTGACCTGGGAGTAATTTAGAGTCCTCCTCTGACCTGATCACAGTTCCCATCAAGGGCAGGGTTGAATTTCACTTACCCTGCTGTGTCCCAGCATCCAACACACAGGCAGGTACATAGTGGGAGTGAGCCAGGTGTTTGCTGACAAAGAATGATGGAAAATGCAAAAAGAAAAAAAAAAAACAAAACTAAACATGATTACAGATTGCTATCACCAGGTGGCAGAAGACTTTGTGGTCCAGACAACCAGATTTGAGAGTATATTGAGCTGACTTTTCTGTTTATCATTAGTAACCTTACATTATTATAGAATTGTTATAGTTTACAAGGCGTTTTCACAATTTGCTACTCTTACCAACTCTGTAGACATTAAACCGGAGAGAACAAACATCTTTCTTAAACTCACATAGATAGTATTAATAACTATTTTTGATTGTCTCTATTATGCTAATCCTTGTACAGAACACTTGACTTACTAGCTCATTTATTGTTGAGAAGAATCATCTTTGGTATGAATTTATTCCAATTTTACAAATAAGTCTGAAGCTTAGAGAAGTGAAGCAGTTTTGCCCACATTCATATAACTTGTGAAGTAGCCGAACTGAGGTTAAAAATCTTAGGCCTGACTTCAAAGCCTCAGTTCTTTTCCCACCCCTGAGTAGTACTGTCAAAGGATATTTCACTTTGTACCTACTTAGTACTTACTTATGAAAGGAGAGAGAAGTGTAAAATTGCAGTGCCATCTGGACATTGATCTTTAAATTGTTAATCACAGCCTAACAATTATTTTAATCCTAGTTTAGTATTGCAGTGACCTTTTCTGATACACACATAAATATTGATGTTTGGAGCAGGCTCTTCCGGTTTTGTCTCCTGTTCTGGAATAGATCATTTGGCCTTCCAAACTTCAGTCTTTAAGCTTCAAGTGGTTCAGTGCTTTTTTCCTTAGCATTTTTCCCGTATAACTGCCTCCTCCTCTTGATAGTCTCTCTGTCCCACCGGTTGGGCTATTAGAACTAATTGAAAGCATGGCCTGTTTTTTTCTTTTTAAGTCTCTGTGATTTAAAATAGGTTCTAGTCAACTCTAACTCAACTCTCACATATGCTCTCATAAGTTGGTAAAAGCAGAAAATAGTTAATGTGGATAATTCAATCACAGTTCTCATTCCCAGTGTACTACATACTCCAAAGCCCCTTTTCAGCCTACTGGAGGAAAAAAGCATCCATTCTCATTTTAAAGGAAACTGTCAACCTTTCCAGTATAAATTTACAGCTAATTACTAGTTATTACTGAAAATTATTATTTAAGTTATAAGCCCCAGTATAAAGGTAATAATTAGCTCCAAATTTTGTATAGCTTCCTTTTAAGTTCCTTGAAAAGAATAAATACCACACAGAAGAAATCTCTTAAAAATATGTAAAGATTTTGGGCACCTGTGTGGCTCAGTTGGTTAAGTGTCTGACTTTGGCTCAAGTCATGATTTCTGGCTTCTGGGATTAAGCCCCACTTTGGGTTCCCTCCTTAGGGGCGAGTCTGCTTATCCTTCTCCCTCTTCCCCTCCTCCCAGTTGTCCTCTCTCTCTCTCTCTCTCTCAAATAAAATCCTAAGAAAAATTTGTAAATATTTAGTTTGGGTTGATATTCATCACTAGTGACCTACTAGTTTCCAGAAGAAGGTGTATTTTACTTCACCTTATGGTGTGGTTAAAAAAAAAAGTCAGACTTTTGTGTTTTTTTAGGTGGCAGAAGGAGTTCAGTTTGGGCAAGAGGCACATTGGAAAACATTTAAATATTATTTGTTCTTTACAATTTCCTGTTTAGATTTAGAGTCTTTATCCTGATGAATGTTGATTCTTTTTTTTTTAGTGTACCTCGGTATGACCAACCCCCTCCTGTCACATATCAGCCACAGCAAACCGAAAGAAATCAGTCCCTTCTGGTACCTGCAAATCCATATCACACTGCAGAAATTCCTGACTGGCTTCAGGTTTATGCTCGAGCCCCTGTGAAGTAAGTGAATTTATGACATAGTTTTGTTGAGGGGTAAGTGGAACCAAAGTCTCTGGGCTGCTTAACCCACATAGCACTGTGTTTTTTCTCTTAATATTGGGCTTCTAAAAATTCTTTTACTTGAGGAAGGTTTATCACAGCTTATAAAGTTTGAAAATCATTGACTAGAAATATAAGTTCTGCAAACATTGACTGATTCTTCACTTTCTTTGTATGGAGACCTGTGTTATATTAGGGATATAATAAGAAGCTTATGTCCTCGTAGGGGAGATTAACTTGTAAATAAGTGATACATACCGTGTGATAAAAGGACAGACCCAAGGAAATCCAAGATACAAAGATGAAGCAGCAGGACACAGGGGTGTTGAAATAATACAGGTAGTGGCTGCAAGTTCTGGGATGAGATGATTTGAGTTCACGGATACCTTTTAGCTGTGTAACCCCTTGCAGTGCTTAACTTGGTTTTGTCTTCTGTAAATTGGGGGTAGGAATAGTGCCTACTCTTAAGGTTATTAGGAATTCAGTAAAATAGTGCATCTAAAGTATTTTTATGATAATACCTTGCACATTAAGAGAGTTTAGTAAAGATGATGATGATGATTCTTGGGGGTAGAGGTATAGAATAGTGGTCAAGATCACTCAGGAAGGAAACGGAGTCTGATTTCTGGCTTCATCACCTGCATACTGAATGATCTTGAGCAAGTCACTGAACTTAGATCCAAGTTTTTTTCCTCTCTACTGAGCTATGGGGGTTAAGTGATCATGCATTTTCAAGCACATGGCATGGTGAGTGCTTTTGCATAAGCACTTAATAGGGCTTCTTATGATATGACTGGAGCAAGGAAAGCTCCACTGAAGAAGAAAATACGTGGGCTAGTTTTTAAAGATGACTGTGAATTTGCCAGGCTCATTGAGGATATTTACAGGGTGACATAGTAAGCACTATTCTTGAAATACAATCATGAATAAATGAAAGCTGCCTCAAAGAACTTTTCTCTTCTGGGAAAACAGAAGTAAATACTCAGATCAATAACCCAACATGATAAAGCTTAGTAATACTGGTATATACAAAGTGCCATGGTTTCAGAAAAGAGTTTTTGAAAGCAAATAGTTACTGATTATCCAGTGCTTCCTGTTTGTATCTTATGATGCTAAACTTTTTACATATGTTATCTCATATAATCTTTCCAAAAGCCATTTTACAGGTTAAAAAAAATAGAGGCTCTATCTTTGCTAAGAAAATACAACTATTAAGTGGTAGATTTTGAACCTTTATCTCCAGTTTCAAGGATCATACTCTTAATTTTTGTCATTAATAACTTATTTAATAAATATATACTGAGCAGCTATTCTTGTTAAACTTTGCTAGGCATTTCATATATGATTGCATATACTTTTAACAACTTTGTAAGGTAATATTTAGTTCCTGGTTTTTGTAGCCTTACTCTTTCTTTTTTGTATTTCAGAAACCAAATAGCATAAAATTTAATAGCATAAAATAGCCCAAAGAAGAGTTTTAAATAGTTTAAGATGATTGGACAGTGAATTTGGGGAAAAAATTAAATCTTTGATATTTTTTAAAAAAAGGAATGTAAAACCTTTCATATATACTTTTTTGAAATAGTAACTCTTTTCCATAATTTTAAAGGATGATCATTGAAACAAAATTTGCAAGGGGGTTAAGCCAACTCTGATCTAAATTTTTTTTACCATATTATGTATTTACCAAGTGTGTGTAAGTGGCAGGGAAAGTGGCTTATGTGTATGCCTTTAGCCTAGTGATTTTAGAAGTTATTTTTCTTGCTTAGAGCCATTTGTTTTTATTAGCTTCTTTTCAGGCTTTTAATTTGAACGGTTGGTTACGTCAAGGATATGTGTCATAATTATTTGATTATGATTCACTTATTTAGGCCAGATTAACATTCTTATAAAGCTAATGGTCATTTACTATGAATTATTTATTAATTTTTGGCCAATGTAAACATTCTTCTCAGTCTGCAAACTCACAGTTGTTAATCTTTGGTCTGATGTGGAGACAAAACCATTTTCAGGGTTCTAGTCCCAAAGCATTGGTTCTTCTTTTCCAAGTCAAATTTAAAACCTGACACTTAATTTTTAAAAAGATTTTAATTATAGATATTATTTTTACGATATAAACCATGATTTTCAAAAGTTTCATTTTAGTTTATTTGAAATTAGGTACACATTTATCCATAGACATTTACCTTGGTTTGGTGTCTGGGATAACCCACGGCAGCCTCTTTATCTGATCCTATCCATACAGTATGGGAATGGAGTAAGGAATGAGAGCAGATGGACTTTTCAAACCCATTTTCCATCTCTTCTTTCACTCTTGATGCCACTTGACCTACCAGTATGTGTAGTCTTTGTTCATATACTGATTTTACGCCATATATAATATGTATGTTTACATTTTCCTTAAATCTGGAACAATATATGCCCAACTGTTAAATTTTCTTATTTCTGGGAGTTGGTAAGATTGAGGAGGGTAATTCTTTCTACTTTATAATCATCATTAGAAATAACATAAAAGCTTTCCTTTTTGGGGAAAAAGATCATACTTAAATGGAATTCCTTGCTGCTTACGAAAAGAACAGACTCCCAAAGATTATAGCCCTTTTCACTCTGGTTCTGTGAGCTAGCTTTATAATTTTAGAAATGAGCAACTTAGTTTTTTTCCCAAATAGGTCAGGACTCTCAAAATGAGCTAGACTGAAACAAGATCAGGTACTTCTTTACTGCTTAAAAACTTAAAACGAGAGGTTTAGGTCCGTGTTGCTTTTTAGTTGGTCCAAAATTTTTGTCTCTAAAGGTGGAAATGGTTAATATTGTTATCAACAAAGGATGAGCTGTTATTTATGAAGTAGATAATGAAGAATCATTTACTTAACAAAAGGAAAAGTTTTAGTCAAAAAACTAGCATGTTTTTTCCTTTTGCTAAAAATTGCCAATCTTCTAAGTTCCTGAAATTTTAAAATTTTAAAATTCTGTCTCTTTTTACATATACTTCCAAACTTGACTTAGATTATATTCTAAATTTTTGTTTATGAATTTAAGTAAAGCTTAAATTTTAATGTTCCTGAAGCTGCTCACAAAAGTCTGTAATGCATCATAAAACTGTAGTCAAGCTGAACTACAGAATAAATGATAAGGTTAGTATACAACGGGAAAAAGACCATCAAGAACATATTTATTTCATACACACACACCCCAACATCAGTCCCCAACAGTGCTGTGGCATGGATTGTATTTTACTGCTGTGGCTTGGCAGTCTTGCAGCGTCACCATTACCCCAGTTCTGGGTGAAGGCAGAAAGGAAGAGTGGGCACACTGTTACAGGAGGCAGGCATGGGGAAGGGACTTAGTCTGCATCGTGATCGCTGGAGCTGGAAATAGCAGCACTTTGGCTCCTTAAAGACCACATCCACTGAAGTGTGAACACATTATTTGTAGGATTATAGCAATTGATGTTTGCATATATGGGCTATTTATAAGTAGAATACTGCCCTAGGAAAAAAAGCTTAAGTGCTACAATAAGCATAGGCTACTGAAATAGTTTATAGTCTATTTTCTGAATGATTTACCTGTATATGTGTATTTTAAAGATTTTATGTATTAGAGTGTGCACATGAGCACATGAGTGGTGGGGAGGGAAGAGGGAGAAGCAGACTTCCTGCTGAGCAGGGAGCCCTAGGCAGTACTCAGTCCCAGCACCCTGAGATCATGAAGGCAGATGCTTAACCAGCTGAACCACCCAAGTCCCCCACCTGTATATATATATTTTAAAAAGATTTATTTATTTGAGAGAGTGAGCACATGGTGGGAGGAGCAGAGGGAGAGGGAGACAAGCAGACTCCCCACTGAGCAGGTAGCCCAACACCAGGGCTCAGTCCCAGGACCCTGAGATCATGACCTGGGCCCAAATCAAGAGTCTGATGACACTTAACCATCTGAGCCATCCAGGCGCCCCTACCTGTATATTTAAATGTTAAGTGACTAAAAATTAAACCTGGGGAATCAGATGATTTGTCTAGTTAAGAAGAAAAGAATGGGAATTTTACATTTCTCCTAAAAAAAGAAAACAAAACAAGCATATCAGGAAGTATTACGTGAGAAGGGAAATAATTCCATAAAAATGGCAGGGGCAAGATTTTGGAAGGCACATGGGTACCTTTCAGACTTTTCTCATCTGTGCCCTTCTAGAACGTGTTTTCTTCGTCCCAACGAATTTTCTGATTTTTTTGCTTCTACCCTTAATCCTATTTTTGATGCTAAATGCTGTGCTTGGGAAGTGAGAAAATTGCCTGAAGCTTTTTTTTTTTTCCTTTTTATAAAACTTGAATGCTTATACAGAATGATGTTCATATCTTAAAACAAGTATGATATTTACCAATTAATCTTCTCTCTTTTTCCTTGCTGGAAAGCACAGATGATAAATAAGCTTTAATTTTCTTATAGTTCAACTGGCATAAATTAAGCATTTTGAATCAGTTGACATTGCTGAAATGCCCATTAGCTATGGAATTCTGACTCTAGAGGATTAAGATTTTTTGCTAGGTATAAGGAACTTGTTTCAAACAAATAAGATCTTAAGCTACATGAATAGCAGAGGTTCTAGGAAACAAAACTGTTACTTCATAGAGGCTCATTGAGTACTTCTTATGGCATCTCTAATTTATATTGGAGTTTCCCACTAAAGAGAATATAAAGCTTTCTACCAAATATACCTATTAATAGATTGTGGCACTTGAGTATTAAGGGGGTAAATTTGGTATCCAACAAGATATATTTATCTTGTGGTCCTGCATATTGTGCTCCTGGTATTCTGGGTACATGGACCCAAGTTGTACAGAAATAGAAGTCAATGTGCCAGGCACAATCTGGCTGTTCATTGTTTGTTTACTCTTTCCCTTTTTAAAAAACATTTAAAAAATATATTAGAAGATCCTTTTGGAATAAATGTTAAATGAATTACCAAACAAAGGGTCATGGGTAGGAAATACTATAAATGACTATTAAAAATAAATTTACTAGAATTTACAGTCAAAGCTCCTGATTAGATCTGTAATATTTGAGAAGGGCAGTTTCAAAATCATACAGGTATATGACCTGCTGTCCTTCAAGCTCTTTATTTAATCTCAGCATTCAAAACTACTACACTGAAGTAATTTGGTCCATAACTCTGCCTTTTCATTTTTTGGTCACTAAACAGTTTTGCAAGAAATATATGGCCTCTTTAGATTCAGTTTTGTGATCTGTAAGATGGAAAAATTAGATCAGAGTTATGTCTTCAGGCCTTTCAGTTCAGAGTGTAAATTATTCCTTTTTGTTGCATACTTCCCTGTCAGTATGGGATCATCTTACCATTGAAGGAGGACTAAAAGGCCTTCTGAGATGTATATAAATACAAGCAAACATGAGTCCTTCCCCACATACTTCTACAGTCTACTCACTCTCATTTTGAAAAGAACTTATTCTTCCCTTTCTGCTTGATTTTGTTTTAATACTGTATACTCAACCTCAGGAAAAGAGCCAATGAATGATGGTTCCTGTTCATTCCTCTTTTATTTAGTTCCTTGTCTGCTATAGTGAACAGCATTCCTCGGAAAGTTTTGTCAACGCTAATAACACAAGTGACTTTGCCCATTTTTGTGTATTGTCTTTGGGGATAATATGGTCTAAAGTATTCTTAACTTTCTGACAGTTAAACTTTAGGTGAACTTATGAATAAGCGTAGAATATGTATTCTTCTGAAATTATAGAACCACAGTGGTTTGAAATCTGTGTTCATTGTTGTCTAATGTTAATAGTACAATAATTGATAAATTATTTTTTCAATTGAAATGAAGTAGTATCTGCAGTTCTCTCCCTAAAAAAGTAGTATATTTAAGTAAGTTAACAACTCAGTTATTTTTAATTAAAGCTTTATGGTTTGTTTAGATATAAAATTGATCTTTATAAAAATAGATCAGTTTGTTGCTATAGATACATATTTATGTATGTGTTGTGAACATATGCATGATTATGTTTTAAAACAGATATGACCACATTCTGAAGTGGGAACTCTTCCAGCTGGCTGACCTGGATACATACCAGGGAATGCTAAAGTTGCTTTTCATGAAAGAACTGGAACAGATTGTTAAAATGTACGAAGCCTACAGACAGGCTCTTCTCACAGAATTGGAAAACCGCAAGCAGAGACAGCAGTGGTATGCCCAGCAACATGGCAAGAATTTTTAAGTTAATTTTTTAAAAATAAAATTTAAGTTTTGTAAGGGCTTTAAAATATTTTCTCAGATAAAAAACTGCAAACAAATACTTTGGTTAATAAAGGCAGCTTTTTGGAAATTATAAAATTCTAATTTTACATGTATTTTGTTATTAAAAATATTTTATTGAGCAAAAAAATTATTATCATTTTAAGAGCCGACACACCAAACACTTCTAAATGCTATATATTAGAAACTGCTTTGAATATTCTCAGTGGAGAAAAATGCAGCAAGAAATGTCTCATTATAACCAGATATTAAATAGGAAATCATCACTTGGTAAACTTGTACAGTAGCAGTATCTTTCTTTAAAAAACGGAGAACCTATGCAGTATTTAAAAAAAAAAAAAAAAAAAAGATGTGTATTGCTTTCATGTGGAATAGTACCTGGAATCAGGTGGTTTAAATGTTACCATTGTGCAGTTCAAAACACAAAATGGGATTTCGGACCTTAATTGTGATAAATGTAAGTATATAATGTATAGGGTTCCCTTCCAAAATATAAAGAACCCCTTTAAAATGAGAACATATTTTTTGGTATGAAAGGATAAAAGGCCTTTAAATTTTAGGAACAAATGTAGGCACTAAAGTCTTAGCTTGTATGGGAAAGCTGTGTACAGCACTCAAAAGTTGCTGTCATTTCCTTACTTTTGACCGGGGCTCTTAAAGCATTTAGTAGCATGGCTCTAATGAGACAGTGGAGGGTTCTCAACAGCATATGGCACACTGCCATCCCAGCAGATTGGGTTGAGCTGCCAAAAATGACAATCAGGGATTCATTAAGAAATCTTGGTCATTAAACTGATTTTATGTATTTTTTTTATCTTCTAAGGATTTGTCACAGAACTTTAAAACCTACCATTTCCCTCCCACTTTCTTTCCTTTTAATAGTTAAGACATTGTTCATAATTAGTGCAGTACAATTGATGACAGAAAAATTTATGGCACTTTTAGCCTATAAATCTCTAGAATTCTGTGAATTTCAACATTATTTGAAGTAGCTCTTCAGTTACATTTACATGTATTGTAAATATGTAAATATATTTTTAGTTTAGGTGATCTTTGAAAGTACAGAGCACTCCCAGTTATCAGTGAATTTGAATTCATAAAATGTTGAAAATGTTAAATGTTTGATTTTATATAACAAGCTTATTAAATATATTTTTGTGGAAACTAAATGCGTCATGTTTGAATCCATGTTTTTTACATAGTGTTCTAAATATCTGGTTTTTCCATTCAGAAGGTCCAAAAGCAAAGGATGCAGTGTATAATGAAAGGATATTGAAAAATGAAAATAAGCTGGTAGAATTTTATCAGTTGGAAAAGTTATTTCTCAGAGCATGTAATCAAACTTTCTAGGATGTAAGCTTATATGTCTTATGAACTCTCACATACTCTTCTATCTTAATCATTCTTTCCTATTACTCATTACCTTTGTATTACTGTTTAATTTAAACCTGGCTAAGCCATTCCTAAGGAAGTTAGAAATTACTATTTTAGAGCTCCCAGATTATAGAATGGCTGGTTTAAAAGAACTGAAAGGTACCAAAAAAGGGATTAGCATATGCTAAGTTTCTTGAAGTAGAAACTCAGATTTGTAATGGTGTCAACACTGAAGAAAATGCATTTTTAATTTTAAAAAGAGAGATACACCTTTATCATTCTATATCAGTACCTCCCAAACACTTCCAAATTCAGTAAGCATTTGTTTTTAATATTAGGAACCAGAGTAAACTTTAATAATAGTTCACATGTTAAAAGAATAAACCTATGAAGAATACATTTCTTTGTGTACCAAATGAAAAAATATACAATGCAGTGAAACTCAAGTACATATACAAAGTGATTTTTTTTGTGCATTTTTGATCAAGAAGTTTATATTCTATATTAAATCATAATATAAAAGAAGCAGTATTTAGTTTTTGATAAAGCAACTGAAAAGCTCCCAAATGTCTTTAAAAATAAAAGCTTGTGGTATATATAAGATGATAGAGATTGAATCAAGCCTGTTGAGTCATTACGCTATGCTTAAATGGATGACTATGTGAAATAATTTTAAAATTCTCCTGTAGAAATTAAATGAGCATATCCAAACATGGAGTAATATTACTACATGGTTTAATTATATAACCCAGTAGAAGAATTTAGTAAATTCAAGCAGAACACATGTACTGTCATCATAGACAAACACTTTAAATTATAACAGCATATTTGAAGACAAAATTAAGAAACCATACATGTTAACAAAAATGATACAACCATGCATACATACATCTGCTTATTAAACACCGAAGTAAAAGAACTAAACCATTTTGAAGTTTTCAGAGGAGCTTGGTATTTTACTCTGTCCTGATAGAAGCACTTTGAATGTTTGCATGGAGACATAAAACTGAATATTTAACTGACAATTGGTCATGCACCTGTACTCTAAAAATTTGGATTACATTTTCTTCTTTTCTGATTGCTCAGTAGATTCTGACTTCGGCGCAGGAAAAGCTTGATGATACAGATGTCTGTGGGTTGCTGCTGCACTGTAAAGCTTGTATAAAGCCTAGAGATACAAGAATCAAGATTATAAACACGAATGTAAAATTTTTCCTTTGAATGTAAACAGTTTATGGCACTATATAATTAGCATGCTAAATGTGGAATTTTTATATCATTAGCCTATTTAAGATATAAATTAATAGCTAAGAATCTTAGAACTCAAAACTATTTTCGCTTCTCCAGTGTGTGTATGGATTGATCTTTGTGGCAAATAGTTTATTCTCAGACTACATTTCCTTTGACTTTGCACACCTTTTGGAGCAGGGCTTCCCAAACACTGTGCCCTAGGGATGTGTGAGAACTCATATCTTGAATATTACCAGTTTGGGAGGAATTTAACTTCTGACTGCCAATAGCTGCCTTATTAGACACAGCTAGACCACTTGCTATCTGGGCTTCCTTACAAGTTTTCAGAATGGGACCCTTTTTCCCCCCATTATTTCCTGATACGATCAGGAAATATGCCAGTTAGTACATACGTTGCCCCTCCTCTTGCCACACTGGGATCATTCATTTAAACATTCTCTTCCCTTGTTTCCATTACTTGATTCATATCTTACAAAACGTTTTTCAGAAGTATTATCTCAGAAAGCCTTTTCTCATAAAGCTGTAATTGTTCTTTGTGTTGACAGTGTTTGAGTCATAGGAATTTTTATATATTACTTTACATAAGTGTCCATAAATATTTTGGTCCTTTTCCCCCTCAGTGAATGTCTAAGATTCATTGTCTCTTCTGGCTTTCATATATTGAACACTCAGTTAAAACCAGTTTTTCTGAGGTAATTCTGGAGTCTGTAAAGAGTCTGAATATTTTTAAAAGGTTGATATCCTTTAAATAGTAACCAATGCCCAGGAAATTCCATTGATTTTTATCTTTTTGAAGTCTTGATAGCTGTTTTCTTAAGTCTGAATAATACATACCATCATCAGTTCTGTGAATACACATTGGTGTAACATGGTATTGCCCTAGCTCTATCATACTCCTCTAACATTCAACTTAGATTGTTTTTACTTCTTTAATGAATTTGTTTTACTGAATTTTACATAAAATATTTCTCTATTGACTTGTATTAAATGTATCACTGGTATGGATTAGAGGACATACTCCGGTTGTATGTAACAGCAGAAACTGAGGAAAGAAGGATGTGCTATCTCAGTAGCTTTTCGAGATCAGTTTTGCTTCCTGAAGATGACCAGAGTAACTCCACAGAGGTCAGTTTTCTTATGTAACAAAGGATTCTTTCCTCGTTTTGCCCATGTCCAGTAGGAGAAATGAACACCAATTTACAGGTTGTTCTGAGGAATGCTCAGAAAGTCACACTTTATACTGGCCTGGAACCTGCTTAACGTGGTAAAGGTAATTGTCACTCAAAAGCCTGAGTTAAAAACGTCTATAAAGGTTTTGTAGCTCCACTTTGAGACTCTCTACAAATTAGGTTTTCTCAAGATTCATAATGCTATTTTTATCTCACTATGCAGTAGAGCAAAATGCACAATGTTGGAGCTTAAGAATTTTGGAATTTTCTACACATTCAAGAAATAAAACTTTTATAAAACAGGATATTCTTGACAATCAACTTGTATGTTTCATATGCAGATCATATCACATAAGATGTTGGGAATAAATAAAATATTTAAAAACCATATTAAAAATTTACAGCTAAAATTGTGAATCTTAGAAGAACAAAGGAGTAGTTGTGCCCAAAGTTTTGTTTTTTTTTTAATTTAAGTTCAATTAATTAACATAGTGTATTACTAGTTTCAGAGGTAGAGGTCAGTGATTCATCAGTTGTATATAACACCCAGTGCTCATTACATCACCAAAGACTTTCTAATCCATTAATGGCTAGTTGGTTTATAAAATAATAAAGTTTATAGCTCTCAATTAAAAAAAATTAACTTACCTCATTTGTACTTCCCTGTGGCCAAAGGCAGTTTAAAAGGGAAAAAAGAAAAGTATATATCCTGCTTCATTAATAGCATTATGATAATTCAACTTTGTTTACAGTATTTCTGAGCATTTAAGAACAAATACTCCTACACATTTTTTCAGTTCAGATTACATATTGTATCTGAATCTTTCGAAGAACCCAATTCTATATTACTCAGAGGGTTCAGCATCATATTCTAGGAAGGCTTTGGGATTTACCTCAAATAGCCCTTCTTTAATCTTCTAAGGTTGAGGAGCTATTTGAGACAGTGGCTCAGAGGATCCAGTTTTTTGTTTTTTTTTTTAAGATTTTATTTATTTATTTATTTGACAGACAAAGATCACAAGTCAGCAGAGAGGCAGGCAGAGAGAGAGGAGGAAGCAGGCTCCCTGCTGAGCAGAGCCTGATGCAGGGCTCAATCCCAGGACCCTGGGATCATGACCTGAGGCTAAGGCAGAGGCTTTAACCTGCTGAGCCACCTAGGCGCCCCAGAGGATCCAGTTTTTAATTCATGCTTTACCCACAGTGCTACCATTAGTTTATCTTAACCAGATTCTTCAAAGGCATATAGTAAATTCATTAGTTAAAATTCCATTCTAAAGAGTATATGTAGGTATAAATGCTTGGAGAATTGTAGCTATTACTTGCTACCTGCAGAACATAAGTTCAAAAGTCTTACCTCCAAAAGTTTATGAAGAATCTCAATTTTAGCTTCACTAAATGCCCCTAAATTTTCATGATGTAACTGAAGACACTTCCAGAATGACAGTTCATTATCGTTCTAGGTGTGTTTATAATTGTCTTCCCTATCCATCAATTATTTGAACAATGGACCACAGTGACCCTGACTGTAGGCTGTGGTTAACTGAAAC